ACGAGAGGTGGCACAAATTTTTCGAAAGGGTCAAAATCATTTTACAATTTAAAATAAAAGGAGCCACAAGCTCAAACATCCACAGAAAAGCAGTATTAACACAATTTTAAACAGAACAACCCAAATATATATACACAAAAACATAAACAAAAGTAGCACACAAAAGGTGTGGGCCTCACCCCACCACAAACAAAACATTTGTCCTCAAATGCATATAACAAAATATCCAGAATGTAAATTAAAGGAAGACAGAGAGGGCGGTAAAGAGGGGATCCTGTCTAAGCAGTCGCTCCATCTGCCAGGGAATCAATGCTCGATGTGTCACTCTGGAATTTAATAATGGTCCCCGGAGCCTTTTCAGATGATTCAACAGCAGCTGACTTACTAAGATTGTCCAAATCATGAGCCGCCGGAAAGGAGTGGATAGCTGTGAAGAATCCACGTCTCCATGAGGGAATAGTGGGGTCTCGGTGATTTGTTTTCTTGCTTGCTTTAGGTTTCTTGCCCTCATTATCTGTTTTGGGAGGATCTATCGCCTTTGTATTTTTCCTGAAATTTTTCGCTCTTGTTTGTCGGGGTGGCATCTCTTCCAGCTACTTTCAGTCTAGCCATTTCTGCAAAGCTTTGATATAAAGTTAGAAAGTATTCAGACAAAAGCAAGGCCGTTTGATTTCAGAATTACTTTGCCGAACCATTTGGCGAAGCGCTCAGCTACTTAGGCGGTGCGCCGAGTGTAGCGCACAAAGATTATTTAGGGTGCAGACAAAGGGCAAACACGTAGTCTTTTGGCAAGGCGCTGAATGCGTTTGGTGACATTGTGCGTCTCTCCGAAAGTTGTAGAATTTAACATTACATATAACATTAAAATAACGGCGAAATGGGGACGTTAGGTGAACCGCCGAGTAGTTTGGCGAGCTCGACTTAACTCGCCAAATGGCTCAATGTGCCTAGTTTCAACCCATCTTCTTGAATCCAACCTTGCAACCCCTGAAAACAAAATTACAGCTTTCCCAACTCAAATTAAATTTAGACCTAGTGACTTTCATGCACAATCCCTCAAAATTTCATTCACGTTAAGGCACAATCTTCAAAAATCAACTATTAATCTTAGTCAGGACAATATTATCGAATCAACATAGGCAATCAAAATTCTAACTCTACCAGAGAGGCCCAACACACATCAACAAGGTAGTACCATTGCATTGAGTACAAAATTGATAGAAAGAATTTAGAGTTTAGGATCCAACCTCTCGCGCTGACTAAAATGGAATTGAATCGCTAGGCCGCAATGTAATCCAAGTTTCGAGCACAAATTAGCAACTAAAATACTCGAAAAGTGCAAGATATCTAGAAACTAGAGTGCAGGTATGCGTTTGGACAGATAAAAAGTGAGGGAAAGTCAATGAAGTTGAAACTTTTCGACCTTTGGCTTGAAAAAACCGTCCAATTTTTGCCCACTCGGCGACATTAGTCAAGCTCACCTACTCACTCGGCGGAACACCGTCTGTTTAGTTTCTTCGCCAAATTTACAGGACCTTTGGTTTACGAGGGGTCCAAACGGCGGTTTCCGTCGTGATCACCGACATGGTCGGCGATTCGCCAATAATTTAAAGCTCGCCGAGTTTTACAGACTCCAATGTTGACGATGTCTTGAGTCAAACGGCGGATAAGGTCGGATTCGCCGACCCCTTCGGTGACTCGCTGACTGGATCTATTGCTTGCCATCCTTCAATTTTTCGAACACTTCTCATACTTTAACCTGTACAACAACACCATTATTTTACCAAGAAATGATAATAAAAAAAAAGCAATTAAAGGGGTTTTGGGTTGCCTCCCAAACAACGCCTTAGTTAACGTCGCGGCACGACGCAAGTCCACCTTCAAACCTCACTCTTGGGGTTGGCCATAGTATCACTAGGCAAACCCCCTTGCTGTCTCGGATTGAGGTGAGATGAGATATGACCCATTTGGGTTTCCAACTGCTTGATTGAAACAGAATGGGAGGTGACGGTCTGGCTAAGGGTAAAAACATCTTCTTTCATGCCTTTCAACATTTTGTCTGACCTTTCAACTTTGTCGAGGATACGCGAGAGCATATCCTTAGACCTACCACCTTCTGAATCCTTGGGGTTCTGCGCTCATAGGGAGGCACATATCTATCCTTCTTCCCCCATCTTTCCAGTTTTGGATTTTCGGTCCCTCTATTCACGATCTCTATCCTTCCAGGCTTAGTCTCTAGCCCAACCTTGGTTACCAGCCTGCGTTGGGTAGTTTGAACGATAGCCCCCGCCTTGATTTGCTAGAAAATTTACCTCCTCGTTATATAGGGCTTCAAATTTCATCTATTCAGGATTTGCACACCTGACCCCCACAACGTTGACACTACGAGCACCAGCCTCCATGACATTTTTGGATAGAATGTCAAGCTGTGTCATGATTTTGGCCATGTTTTGGTCTCTCTCATTGTCTTTTTCAATCTGCTCCTTAGATAGCTTGACTGTGAGAAGGGACACTTGGTCCTCGCGAGTGTACCACGCTTTGTTGATGGTTGTCATGCCATCTAAAAGTTGGGCTGCTACTGCATATGGCTGCTGCATTAAGCCTCCAGGCGAGAGTTGGTCAGCGACACCTTTGTTTACCGAATCCAAACTCCGGTAAAAGTATTGAAGTAGCACGTTGTTCGGCAAACCATGGGTTGGGCATTGCTGCACCAACTTTTTGAACCTTAGCCAAGTTTCGTGCAGAGGCTCTCCTTCCGGACGTTTACAGCTCTGGATGCTATCCTGCAGTGTCATCATCTTCGAGGGAAGGAAAAATCGCACTTGAAATGCGGTTA